AATTTGCTACAGTTATGAATCATAATGTAAATATCTGATATGCATGGTATCTGATATACAACCACTGTGAAAGGGTCGTTTGACCCCACAGATGTTGCATCCCACAGGTTGAGAACCATGACATAGACTTAACAACAAACCTCTTGGGCTCCTCATGACCTTTCTAGGGACCAGCGCATTATTGATTCCTTCATTTCATCCCAGAAAAAATTTTTGCTCAAAATGTTCTTTTTTTGTGATAATGAACTTTTGGTGATATAGAAAATGCTCTTATGAAGGAAGAGTGGAGGGCATGTTCTGGAGTCTGTGATGTCAACAAATACAAAATGTTCTAGGATTTTGATTGCCAGTACCTGGAGGTTGGTTCTTCCTACTTTCATGTGGGTTTGAAAATCTGTCAGCTAAAAGAAACCCCCTTCTCCCTGAGAGAAAGTGTGTGCTGTCAGGGCAGGAAGAGGACCATTGGATACCATTCTACCTTGGCATGTCCACATCCACTCCTACATCTTGGTCCTCTTCAGGTGCAGACACAAAGAAGCAGCAGGGCTGTCTTCATTGGATTCTCAGAAGGAAGTTCAGCTGGGGCCAGGTTCCCAAGTGCTGGGCTCACAGGAAGGTGCTACCATGCCAGTATGACTTCATTTTCATTCTAACAACGTCCCCCTCTCTCTGAACAATATTCTCTGAAGACATTGTTATGAACCATCTGGCAGTTTGTCCTTATTGTCCCCCGTTGCTAAGATCTGTCCTGGTTGTTTGTGTGTAAACATGCATACATGCCATGGTGTGTGGACAGTTTTCAAGAGTTGATTCTTTCCTTCTACCACATGAGTCCCAGGAATGGGACTCAGGTTGGCTGGCTCGGCAGCAGGTGCCTTTACCCACTGAGCTGTCTCTCCAGCCCAGGTAGCACTTTAATTGAACAGAGATGCTTATATGAACATTGAGTTTGTTAAAACAATTTCATAAGTAACCCAAAGCCTGAAACACAAACATCAGAAAACAGGAATAATTTTAATAAAATATAAACTCTTGTTTTGCTCAGTTGTGAGACTGGCACTGAGCAGAAAATATCCTGAAGAAAGTCTTGCCTTAGACACAACTAAATTCTAGTTGCAATTTCTCGCTCATATTGGTGTCTTTACATTAGAACATTAAGACTTTTGAAAATAGGTGAATCTTATTTCATTAATTTCCAAACTTTAGATTTTTATAACTAGGGAGTACTAGTTGCTCTCTTGTATTTTTTTCTTAGCTGTGGTCTATACCTGAGGTAAAAACAGACCAAATGGCCCAAGGATATACAAAAAGACTCAACAGCATCAACTAAATGATTTTTAATCTTTAAAGGATGAGAAGATGACAGGTAGCTGCTTATGGCTTCAGACTGCCTTGCGGTGGCTTTCCAGGTCTCCAGTAGCCAAGTGTAGGAAGCACACGTAACACTCCTTAAGCAGTCACCCATATCTCTCCACTGTACAGATTAAGAGCTGAGCAACTGATCAGTTCCCTTTCCCAGAATCTTCTTGCCTTTCCAGTGTTCGTGAAATGGTGATGACTAAGAAAGAGAGAAAACTTTTAAACATGTTCTCAGCATGTATCCCATATATTTTGAATTCTTCAAAGGTTGAATTACATTTAGTTCCTCGCCCCCTCCCTTCTTCCTCTTGTTCCCGCCCTGTTCACTCCAGGCCCCACTTGCTTTGGCTCAAAGTACACTGTAGCTGTCTTCAGACACCCATGTGAGGGCATCAGATCTGGTTACAGATGGTTGTGAGCCACCATGTGGTTGCTGGGATCTGACCTCATGACCTCCTGAAGAGCAGTTGGTGCTCTTAACCACTGAGCCATCTCACCGGCCCCTACATTTAGTTTTTAACTCACAAATATTCTAAGGTTTATATAAAGACCAAACCTTAAAAAAAAAAAAAAACCAAGTGACGCTCTTAATTAAGTAATAATATTCATATAATCTATGCTCTTAATTAAGTATAATATTTGTATAATTTTGGCAACCAAAACTGGAAACTTAAGAAAGTAGTTAATCATTTACATTGAAATCTGAACTGAAATCTGTAAAATCATAAACACTTTTAAATGTGAAATCAAGGTACAGTTACATTTCTAAGTCATTTACTAGGTCAAAACTCTAAATTTTTTAGCAAGGAAAAAAGACATTTGAAAGCTTGATGACTAGAATTCAATCTCTGGAACTCACAGAGGGGGAAGAAAATGGCCCTCAAAAGTTGTCTGTGGGCACACTACATGATGATGGTGATGATGAATTTTAATGAACCATAAGTATCGAGTAGGAACTTAGGTCTTGTGGGGGAAGTTCTGGCTTCCTTTCTCCAGATGCTTCCTAGTTACTCCAGATATTTCTTCTAATTGATGCTGGGTCAGGAGGGATGAAGGTTTGTTGCCCCTTCTAAAAGAATAACTGACAAATAACTAAACCACGAGGTTTCTAAAAGTCAGAATAGAAGACACAGTATAGTGAAGATAAACAGTCTTTTTGAAATATTTTTGTCCTTTAAAAATAGTAGCCCCCCTCTAGGAGAGTACACGCACAGCTGATCCAGCATCCAACAAGTCACAGAACTCAACAAGACAGCACAGCTTCCAGCATAAAACCATCAGGGTTGACTGGAGTAAGGCCAAGGGTTCAAGTGGCCAAGCTCCAGAGTACCATGGAAATAAAGCCAGTGGAACAAAGGGGATGGGCAGAGCTGTCCAGGCAAGGGTGGAGACAGGAGTGCTGACCCCTGCTGTTATGTGAGGAGGAGGCGGGGGCCACTGTCAAAGCTGAATAGGGAAAATAAGCTCTGAAATATACAGAAAGCCAGAGCGATCCAAACTCAAAATGGAATTTTTGACATGTCGTGGGCAGCAATGAAGGCCTTAATCTGGGAGAGCATTAGGAGGGGGAGAAAGTATCACACCAGCAGTAAAGTATCATACCAGGCCTTGAAGGGAGAGAGCCTTCCTTAATCCCCAGAGACTGGAGTGCAGAAGTCTTGACTGAGTTCACTCTGCGCATGGCACCAGGAGGGCGCTTCGGGGCCCACCTGATGGGGGGAGTTCTCACTCAGTCTGAAGTTCCTCAGGGGTGCAGAGCTCTTGGATTGGGGGTCTCTGGGCCAGGAGGTGGACAGGGACTGACTGGTTTCAAGCCCTTGGGCTCTCAGAAGCCGCTAAGAGGCCGTGGAAGGACCCAGACTGGGGGCATGTGGATGCGTGACCAGCTGACCTACAGCCGAGAGAAACGAGAAGGGAAGAGAAGAAAGAGGCCCAGGCAGCGCCCCCTGGGAGAGACTCGGTTACTGTACTTGCTTAGCAGACTCACTTATCAATTTGTTGCAGTAAATCTCCGACCCAAATAAGACCAGTCAAGGAAAACACAACTCAATAATCATGGATATAAACTGCATGCCTAGATTGGGCAGATTTACCGTTACACTACTCTGTTCCCCAGCTATGAGATCCCTTATAACTTGCGGTTTTTCCAGGCCACGTGCTTCTCCTCCATTATCCTTCCACCTCCTGCTCCTCTGTCCTCTTCCCCTTAGGCAGCCCGACTAGCTTGCTTGAAGAGGTGGTCCCCATGGCTGGAATGCAGAGAAGTCCTCCATGGGAGATTAGACGACTGCTCAATAGTTGAGACCTTCTCCACGGTTCCCCACGGTGGTCCCCAAGAGACGAGAGAAAGTCCATGGTTCCAAAAGGGTTTATTTTCATGGTGGATGATAGATGGATCTAGATGTCCCCCCCACCCATGAAACTCAGGGCAGACCTGAGTTAAATAGGGAGGGAAAAAAGGGGGAGGGTCTGGGGAAGAATGCTTAATTGGCTCTGCCCTCTGGCCTTCAGGTATCTCATTAGTATGTAAATCTCTCTAGGGCCTGAGGTCTGTAGTCACATCCTCTACCTGTGCTCTTTGGGAGGGGCTGCATTGTCCTACATGACTGAACAGTGCAGGTCAATGGAGTTCCATGCCACATGTCAGGAGCCTGGATTCTGGGAGCGCAGCAGAATAGATGCCTGTCCCTCACAGGCAATGGACGCCTGTTGGGTCTCCAGGCTATTTCCAGCCAGTGCTTCTACCAAAAACCAAGACCCCTTTCGCAGCCTTACACCTGCCCACCCAGCTGACAAAGCCTTCCCTTTGCGTACATTGTATACAGCCCAAACTATGGGTGCTGAGTCCAGGAGAGACAGGCCTCAGCCGCAGCTCCATTGCCCCTGACCCCCCCACACACACACTGTTGCTTAGTCTCTCATCCCGTTCCTGCAGTTGCCCACAGATCCTCACCCCTAGCTTCACCAGCTTTTCTCGATTTGAGCTCTAGGTTAAAAGAACACAATTTCTCCTCCCCTCTCCATCTCTTGGGTGCTGATAGTAAGCAGCCTCTCTCCAGTGAGCCTACTCCCTCCACATAGGTGTCCATCATTGAGCCTGACCTTGCCCTACTCTCAAATTTCATCAAAACAGTCTTTGAACTTCCTTGAGTCCATTTCCAAACCTCCCATCAAGGAGCCTGGGAACCTTCAAAAGGAAACTGATTCCTGGTAGATATCATGATGCCCAATTTTTAATTAACATTGTTTACAACAAAACGTGTTATCTATTAGTAATTATCCCAATAGCATGATTAACTCATTTCAATGTTGGCAAAACTATATGTGTTTTTCATATGGACCAATGCCCAGAAATTATCTCTCTCTCTCTCTCTCTCTCTCACACACACACACACACACAAATATGCCAATCCTAAATAAATTTTACATTCTATGTTTGCTAGCAAAAAGCAGCTTAGATATTTTTCTAGCCACAGAGCACATTTTAACTCTTTTCCACTAAGATCTTAGTTTCTCTCCTTTTGGTGAGACTTACTGAAGTAGCCTTTATGTGTCATATACAGAGCGAACAGCGGGGATCCTCAAAGTTATTGTTTGTAGGGATTATTTCCTCTGTAATTTTTATTATAAAAAGGAAGTATGTGCTCGCTTTGGCAGCACGGATACTAAAATTGGAACGATACAGAGAAGATTAGTGTGGCCCCTGTGCAAGGATGACACACAAATTCATGAAGCATTTCAAATTTTTAAAAAAAGGAAATATAATAATGTTTTTTGGCGACCATCCGTACTTATCATTTTGTAATGTCATAGCCCTAATGAACAGCTTACATTTATCACTTGTATATTAAGGACATTCCTAAAAAGAAAACCACAGCAATAATTTAACAGAATATTTTTTTCTCCTTGCCTCATTTTCAAGAATATTTGAAAGTATCAAGCTCCAAAATTCCTTCAGGGAAGACGTTCATAATTAATGATTCAGTTGTTAGCATTTCACACAGACCTGCCTGAGGTAAGCTCAGTGTTCTTTTTAGTCTCAAATTCAAAAATCTCCAAATTTTAGCATTGTTGCTTTCTCTTTAAAGGAAGAAACAAACAGAAGAAATGCAGCGACTCCCCCAAACACCCATATTCCTATATATACACACTACACATACACACTCATACAGAGTGGGTCTGCGTCTCAGTCTGGACTCTCTAGAGAACAGAACTGCTGTGGTAAATTTATTTAATTTAGCTTACCTGAAAATAGTAGCAACAGTTGTCTCACACTTTAGAAGCTGAGAACCTGGTAGTTGCTGGGTCCTTGAGGCTGGGAATCATGGCGGCTGGAGGAGTTCCACAGTGGCCGTCTCACGTAGGCGAGGCCACCACCTGGTAGTTGCTTAGTTCATGAGGCCAAGAGCCTTGCCATTTCCATTCTAGCATAGAGAACCTGGAGGGTTCCTGGAGAGCTGATGCTGGTCTATAGACAATGATGGAAACCTGGAAGCACTGGCTAGGACATCACCGAGGGTGTCGGCAGCCGCAGCAACAGGATAAATCAGCTCTGTGGAGAGAGGGAGGTCCATGGAGCAAAAGGCACTCCTCTTCCACCTGCCATGCCCTTTTAATCCCCACATGATTCAAGGCAGTCAGGACAGCACTCCAGGCGAGGCTCCCTACCCAGGCATGATGATTTGAGTAAGAACGGCCCCCAGAGGCTCATATAGTTGAAGGTGTGGTCTTTAGGGAATGGCCATAATTGAGAGGGATTAGGAGGTGAGGCTTAGTTGGAGTGGATGTGGTTTTTTTGAGGGAAGTGTGTCACTGGAGGTGAGCTTTGAGGTTTCAGAAGCACAGTGGCTCTGTCTCTTCCTGCTGCCTGTGGATCTGGATGCAGGCCTCTCAGCTCCTTCTCCAGCACCGTGCCTGCCTGTGTGCCACCATGTTCCCACCATGCTGATAATGCCCTAAATTTCTGAAGCCGTGGGTGAGCCCCAGTTAAATGGTTTCCTTTATAAGAGTTGCTTTGATCACAGTATCTCCTCACAGCAATAGAACGCTGACTAAGACACCAGGTGATTCTAATTTTGGCAAGTTGACATTAAAACCAACCATCACAAACTGGGACCTACTGCTTTAAGAGACCAGATGGACTCTCTGGGAGAAATCAGGCCACGCTCCTTCTTCAGCCTGTCATTTAGAATATGGACCTGACAGGTCCCTCTGTGACAGAGCATTCAGGCCTCAGTGGGAAAAATAAGCCCAGCTCCTTCCCCTTGCAACTGCAGGATAAGTTTATAGTCTTACCTAGTGCCTGTCTCTCTGGCCCTTAGCATACAGGATAGGCCACACATGGTATGGAACCTTCTTCCAGCCCTGAAAACTTGTAGGGGTCAGAAGGCTCCTTTGAACTGGGTGTTTGAAGGCTTTCCTTCAGGTCTTCCGTCATGTTTTTATGGCAGCTGTCTCTCTAATGAGCTTCCCCCTCTTGGGAAAACTCTTCTGAAGGCTGACCAGTGTTGGCTCCCTCCCAGGAGCTGAGAGGCAGGGAGCAAGCAGTGGCTAGCCGAACTGAGCCATGTCCCTGCTTCTGTTTTCCTCTACCCAGCCCACTCACCAGCTGTAGGGAAGAAAGACACCGCTCCCTGTGATGTTTGGGGGTCAAACCCAATGCATTCAGAATTGAAAAAGGCCTTGAAGTACCACTGTGGTAGCTTAATATGCTTGGCCCAGGGAGTGGCACTATTAGGAGGTGTGGCCTTGTTGGAATAGGTGTGACCTTGTTGGAAGAAGTGTGCCACTGTGAGGTTGGGCTTTAAGACCCTCATCCTAGCTGCCTGGAAGCGAGTCCTCCACTAGCATCCTTCAGATGAAGATGTAGAATTCTTAGCTCCTCCTATACCATGCCTGCCTGGACACTGCCTTGCTTCTGCCTTGATGATAATGGACTGAACCTCTGAACCTGTAAACCACTCCCAATTAAATGTTGTCCTTATATGAGCTGCCTTATTCATCGTGTCTGTTCACAACAGTAAAACCCTAACTAAGACAACCACCCGGATAGTAATCCAAATGAAAGGATAAAAGTCTGAATGGGTTTACTACCTTATGAAGTTCTCTCTGGTTAAAAAAAAAAAAAGACAAATTAAAAACTTGACAAAGGAGAGTAGGTGATTCAGGAGGGTGGAGTGGTGGTGGTTTCAGCTCTCTGTAGACATCTTCGAATGTTCTTTAGAGTAGGTGGGAGGATGCAAACCAAGAAGAGAGGTAAAAATGGTGCACAGGCCCTCAGTGACCTCAGAGGACTTGTGTAGTAGTGCATCGAGAAAAATGGCTCCGGAAAGAGTGTGATTTGTGCCGGATGTGAAGGCCAAGGTGGGAGGAGAGGAACAGTACAGAGAATGCTGTCCCAGCCACAGAGGTGCTGGCATGAAGTATGGGTTCATCAGATTGGGCCAGGAATGGCTGAGCAAATTGAGGCTTGTCATGGAGAATCAGTCCCAAAGACATAAGTAAAAGATGCCATGGAAGAAAAATAGCTCAAGAGTAGAGGATTTTAGAAGTTCATATTGACAAAGCATGAAAGAAAGCCAGAAGATAACATTCCATGTTGAAAGAGACCATAAACCAGGACTGGAGCCAGGAAGGAACATGCCATTTTTACTTGAAGAGAACTTTACAAAGATATGGACTTATAGTCCATATAGTTGGCTATATGGCTGAAGCATTGTATAGCTTTCCAGAGTCGGTATCCTTCTTGACAAGTGAACCACAGGCGTTATTCTCATTTAGGTCTTGTTGAGCATGGAGATAGTAAATGCTAAATGAAGACATGTCAATACTGTTGATCATGTAAAGAAGAATGCCTAATCGTTGAATTTAAGGTGAACTTTACTGAAAATGGCTTTCTCTCATCATAAATTCTCTTTGCTGGAAAAACTCCTTTCCAAAAGGAAGGATGTAGAAGAGAATGAAGAAGTCATTTAGGTAGAGCTTTTGGACTTTGATTCAAATCAGAGCCAGCGCCATTATAATGAAGAAGCATACAAGGATGGCGAACATCACTCCAGAGGTGGTGTTCTGTGCCAAACCTTTTATTGGTGCCAGTGAATAACACTCACTCATGGTACTTTATATGCAGTAGTGAAATGAGTGTAGGACTATAATCATAATATGTTTACTGTGTGGCTATTTTTTAAGTCAACTATAGCAGTGTTTTAAAGTTAGGTGAAAAAGAAACTCAAAACATTCTGACTTTACCATGTATGTGTACTGATTTCAGTGTGCAAGAGGAAGTCCAATACCTGTAAAGCGGCTTTAAAAGCTCTTCAGTGTCTGTTAGTTATGCCTTGTGATTTACTCAGTTGTGCATGAAGAAAAGATTAAACTGATGTTCTAGGTGCTTATGTTGACTTCACTGACTCTTCATTGCTATGAAATTAAAATTCTGTATTTAACTGGTAATCAGGAAAAAATAGTAGCACTGTGTCTGTCTAGTTACATGAAGTGGATTAATTGTGTTACCTCTGCCTTGTATCACCTCAGCTATTTCTTGGAGGTGGTATATTACAAAATGCATAGAGCTGAAGCCTTCCTAAAGAAGTCTGCTATTACAAGCTGTTCTTAAGGGCTTGCACTTCTAGACTGCATTTTTTCTGTGATCACACACACACACACACATACACACACACACACATTGATCAGTCCTTGCTACACTTTTTGTCCCTTCTTTTGGACCACAGTAAACCCTTGGGGAGAAAATTCCAAAGCCGAGTAACTTAGAAATCAAAGGGAAGAGACCTGTATGTGGAGAAGTGATTTGTACTATAATCCAGGAAGATGTTTCAGATATGTCACCAGCTTAACTTTAAACCATTTGACTTAGGCTCCAAAGTAATTATAATTTAATGCTGGTAGCACAGCGAATTATGAGTAGCTTTAATAGTATGTGTAGAGCCACATGTTCACGTGCTTAAATCCAGAATATTGAAATCCAGTTATTGAAATGTATGACTGTATTCTAATAAAATGATGAGAACCCACACCCCAAATGAGGCAGTAACTATAATCCCAATTTTCAGTGAGTTCAAAGAAATGCAAGTGGGATTTTTAAAAACTTAGCTATGTTCAGGAGCTCTATGGCAGAGATTGCTTTTGCCTCATGGCTGTCATTAGGAAACCATTTTAAGTTGGTGATAGACTAGTTAGGTATACTTCTCCCTGAGGGTCACAGTTGCAGAGGGAGTAAAGTCTTAGTATTTATTATCATTACACACAAATGCCCTTGTTTCTCTGTCTCAAATGAACTGTCTACAGAACTTGCCGGCTCAGACATAGAGGCTCAAAACTCTCCTTGTCACATAGCAGATGTCCAAACAGTGCAGCAGAATTACAGCTTTGCTTGGGAAAAAAAGCTTTTTAAATTGGCAAGGAATGCCTTACAAATGATACAGTAGCCAAATGGCCCCACAGAAGAACTCCAGCAGCTCAGTTGAGTCCCCAAACAGACAGGAAAGCAAAGTCAGAGTTACACCACTGGGGAAGAAACCCACCAGCAGCCATACTTTCTCAAGAATCCAAAACAAAGTCCAAATTCTCATTTTTCTGCTCCACTAAAGAGAGGTTTTGAAAGCAGCTGTTGCCGGCTAAGGTGAGGAGATTAAAAAAAAAAAAAAAAGTCTCAAAGTGATTCCAATAGCTGCTTGAAGCAAGCATCTATTTATCTTATTTATAGGAGTCCACTGTAGCTGTCTTCAGACA